TATATATATATATATCTATATGTATATTATATATGTACACATATATACACATATATATATGTAATAAGTCGATTGTCTATGTGATATATAGAACAATAAGCTAATTATATAAATAAAAACATTATAAACGACTTGGCAGTACCGCGTTTTTGAAGCCAGCCTTCTTTGACGACACGCTGACTACCGCCACCGGACACTGCGACGTTCATCGCTGCGTCCCCCATGACTCTCCTTCGTTAATAATCACTTATGGGTGAATTTATATGATCCGTTGTTATTTCGTAGATATGATAATAATATTATGAAAATTGACAGAACGTGAAAGCGCGAAACGTAGTAGTAGACGAGCATACGAACTTGAGCAATCATAGATACACGTTTGGCAGATTATATACACACACTCTATTTGATCGGCTGACGCACTGGCACTGGCTAAACATTGAAGTCTGTTGATAGTTCGTAGATGGCGCATAGATCGTATTTATATATTAAGCCGTATTCTTATGTACCTCTTCTGTTTTTTTTTTGTTTTTTTGATTTTTTTTTTCAAAAAATAGCGTATTTCTTTAATAACATTTTTTTTTTTTTAAATACTTGTGTAATATGAAATTGTATAATAGAAGAAGAAAAAGAGTTAAATTGTTTGATTTATTTGTTATAAATATTATCAACGATATTTCGTACATTTTGTTTGTATTTTATTCTTCTTGTTGTTTTTTTTCTTTTTTAAATATCGATTAATAATTATCGATTATTATTCGAGATTTTTGTCTATCACGGATAAGATTAATTTTGTGTTTATTTTTATTTTATTTTATTCTCTTCTCATTCTTTTTTGTGCATTTTAAAATATATTTATGCGGTATTAATGACAAGTGAAGTAATTAAATGTAATGGCGTTTCGCATGTGCGAATTTAACTTCGGTATGGCGGGAAGATTCATTTTGAATTTATCGAATAATGGCGGATCGCGCGATCGAAACTTCACTATCGAATTATATATCTTTTTTAATATGTTTTTATTTTGTGTATCTTACGATAAATATCTCGTATCTTAATTCGTTCTTGTAACGATATGATAATAAATTATAAGTTATAGATAGTTTAACGAAAAATTAATTAAATTTCGAAGAATTATTCAAAAGAAATGTAACAATATCATAAGAATTTTGATTAAATGTTTAATCGACAAGTTTTTATCAGAAATTGTATCTAATCATTTTTCTTACAAAATCGCACAAATCTTGTTTTCAACGATACATCGTTTACTATTTTTTTTTTGATTATCACAAATATAAATCTTATTAAACTTAAATAAATTGTACGTGATTTTCGACATACTTAATTAACTTCGATGTTAGCTTATTTATATAAATATTTTTTTTTGTAATTTAAATTTCTAATTAAACATTTCATTTATATTTAACGTAAAAATTATTCATTAATAAATATCGAATTCCAATATTATTTTATCTCGCAATTAGATTTGCCATAAATTGTTTATTTTTTAAAAGAAAGCAAAAAACTTCAGAGGGTCGCGGGTGGAGATGAAAAAAAAGAAAACAAGAAGATTAGTTCGGTCGGGTGAATTTAATAAAAAAAAAGAAAAAAAAACAAGTACATACACCCTCTTAAGATTCCAGCAAAGTGTCGGAGTTCACGTAACTCTTATGTTAGGAGAAAAAAGGGGTGCGAAGCATTGTCGTGCGATGGCGGTGGTGATGGCGGGTGGGATTGTGATGGTGGTCATGCTACGTAATAATCTTTTTCGCGCAGGACTACTACGTGCTACTATCAAGAGAACACGAGGAGGAGAAGAATACGTGAATTTTATTCGTCGTAGTCGTTTTAGTCGTCATCTTCATCTTCATCGTCATCGTTGTCGTTGTCGTTGTCGTTGTCGTAGTCGTAGTCGTGTGTTCGCGTTGAAACTGATGCTTAGAGTAGAGCGTGCGCGTCCTGCGTCAGTGCAGCACCAACATCGGTGGCACCAACAGTAGTAAAATCATCATTGTCTGTTCGTCGTTATCAGCAGTTGTCAGTACGGTTAGATCGTCAAGATGTAAGCCCACCGGTATTTTTTTTTCAAGAAGAAGAAGAAGAGAGAAAGAGAGAAAGAGAGAAAGAAAATCTCGAGTTTGTCATATCGTTGATGATTGCTGGGTCTTCGTTTAAAAAATAAAGAAAGGGTTGCTAGTAGGAAAGAGTGAGAGAGATAGATAGAGAGAAAGAGAGAGTGTGTGTGTGTGAGAGAGAGAGAGATAGAAAGATAGAGTGTAAGAGAAAAAGAGAGAAAGAGAGTGGGAGAGAGAGAGTGAGTGTGAGGGTGAGGGTGAAAGGGGGAAAGGAAAGGCGTTGGACTACCGGGGTAGAAAGAAAGGAGGACGCGAGAATGGAGGTACCGAGAAAGGGATCGATCGCTTCCCGATAGCTGGCATGGAGGACACGGCACTAGGGTAAGTTAACCGATCTATCTCCGGAATACATGAACTCGGCCGCACACACACATCGGGGCCTGTTATTTCTTTAACCCGACATCATCATCGTCAAACCACGTTTCACTATTTCTCAAACAGTCCTCAGCTATGAGGAAGATATTCAACTTGAACTAAAATAATTCTTATTTGATAATTGTATTTTTGTTTAATTTGACTGTTTTGGTTTTTATGTTTCTTTTTTTTTTTATATATTTTTTTATCTCTATGAGCTAGGGGTGTAAAGGATTATTAAGTTCATAAAAGGAACTGTTGTTTATGGTGGTATATGATTAAGATGAAAAGTAGGTTTTTTTTTGTCTTCACTGATTTCGAGAGATAAGAGATAAGAGAATGAGAAAGAGAGAGAGAGAGAGAGAGAGAGAGAGAGAGAGAAAGAGTAAGGGTAATTTTTATGATAAATTTTATTTTATATTTTTTTTTGGTTATAAATAAGCCTTCTTATTTATTACAAGATAAGAAATTTCTTGTATCTAATAAGGTTTGTGTTGTCTAAGATGAAAATAGAGCATGGGGGTTGGGTGGGTGAAAAGGGGAAGTTTATCGAGGAGAAATATGTTTCGCCCACGAGGAAATAATGAGAGGGGTTCTTCTCGTAAAAGAAGAAAAAGAAGAGGAAGAAAGTGTGGTTGGAAATTTGAGGAAGAAGTATCATTGAATTTATGCGATATGGGAAAACTAGGTGATCGTAAGATAAGAGTTTCTAGGTTCTTTAAATAGGGTGAAACCTATATATATATATGATCGACTGACTAATAACTGACTGACTAACTAACTGACTAAGTTAACTGGTATTCCCTGTATTTAATTGTCTAGGGGTAGTTCTGTGTTCTATACGAGTCACCCTTTTGATTAACTCACACTCAGGTCAGATTTCTCCCCTTTTATCTCTTTCTAAGGTCATTAATTTTCTTCTTTTTTAAATTATTATTATTCTTTTTGAACTAACCAAGTGGTCAAGCTTGGTTATCGATTATTACAAAATAAAAAAAGGAAGCCAATAATAATTTGGTATCGTCAGAATTATTGATTTAAATATTGAAAGAAATGAAAATACATCTGGAAGGATAAACGAATTATTTTATAAATTATTTCTCAAACTATTTGTAGATTTTGAATGAGATTGATATAAATATGTCTTAGGGTAAATGAAGTTAAGCTCACTTAAAAAAAAAGAGAGAAGGAGAGAGAGAGAGAGAGAGAGAGAGAGAGAGATTTAAAATTCGATGATAAAAAAACCGGTGCATGCTGTTGCTCTTCTTCATAATCCGGGGCTCCGTTTAGCGAGCATGGTCGAGTTATGTCATCGGTCTCTCGTGGCATCATCACTACTACTATTACTATTACGTTCGATAGTTACAGAACGTTATTGTATATGTATATATGTATATATATGTGTATGTATGTGTGATATCTACGTTTCTTCTATTCAGTGCATCCTATTCTAACTAACGTGTCCGTCATCGTTTTATTTCCCTGTGCCACCTTTCCCCCCTTTTCCACCCTCACCCACACCTCTTCTCCTCACCCTTCCATCCCGTGCTTCCGTCAAAATTATTAATTCGCCTTGAAACGATTTCGACCGTATTACCGTACGTCCTTGTGTGTCATTTCTGTGCTACGTATATATATACATATATATATGTATATGTATACGTATGTATATATATATATATCTTGTTACAAACTGCTGGGATTAGAGTAGATGGAAGAGGGTCGGCAAAGTTTTCATTTATTTTTCACACCATATTCAAACGCAAATAATCATCAACACCAACGTGTACTGATAAAACAGATCGATCGTTTATTTTTCTTTTTGTACCTTTTTTTCTTTCCCCATTGTAATTTATATTTGATTAAATAGAAAGTTGTAAGAAAAAATTTATTAAAATCGTGTATAAGTTTATTGTGAATAATTTTTATTTATTAAATATTATTATAATTTAATTTAATAATATTATAATTAAATTAATTTAATATGATTTTAATATAATTTTAATTTTAATAAAAATGTTAAATAATTTAATTATAATATTATAATATATTATATTGTAATATTATATATATTATATGATTATATATTATTATATATAATAATATATTATATTATAATTATTATAATAATAATTATAATATATTAAAGATATGTGCATCGTTGCTTTTATTTATATATATATATGGGTGCTTATAATTAAATATCTAAATAATATATTTAAAGAATTATATTTGAACACTAAATGAATTTTATATAATATTGAATTAACAAACACTATCTAAAGTATTTATTTTTGATAATATCGTGAAAACATTAAATTACATTTATTCAGTTTAAAATAACATGTGTGTTGAATAACTGAATAAACTGATATTTTATATATTAAATATATTTTTTATATTTGACATTTTATAAACATTCTTTTTGAAATTTCAATTTACGTTAAACCATTTTCATAATTATGGGCAAATATATTGAAAATTAGTTGTGTATGATATGTATGAATGCACTCATACACACATGTACCCTTAATATTATACATTTGTTTATAATAGAAAAGACAAACAAATCAGGAAATAGATAAGTATGATTTATTGAGAAATTAGAAAGAAAGAAAGAAAGAAAGAAAGAAAGAAACTTCGATAATGTTAAATCTCGTCTATCAAGTTATACCAGCAAAATCAATTTCTATTTTAGTATCGGTTAACAACGTATCGGTTTGAAAGACGTCGGCTACTGCGTCTGGGTGAGATAGGATCCTTCCTGCATCGCGTAAGCCGATCGTCATCGTGAAGAAATAAACTTTAAAACGATGCTTCAAATTTTCATCACGTACTATAATCCATCTCGATATACAATACTATGATAATAATAATAATAATAATAATAATAAAATAAAAAGAACAAAAAATTACAAATTGTACAAATTTTTCTATTACTTTCAAACATTATCAAAATTGTTGCAGAATATTTCTCTACATTTTTTTATTTATTTTTTTAAAGAAAAATAAAATACAACGATGAAATGAGATCAAAGTGATGAACATCTTGAGAACAAACTTTTTCTTTCTTTAAAAAATTGAATAAAAAAGATTGAACTTCATTGATTCGTAAATTATTGTTTTTACATAAACGATTTCACATAAAACGATAGATACGAGAGAAAAGTGATAAAAAAGAGAGAGAGAGAGAGAGAGACATGTTTCTTAATGGTTCTATCGAGCAACACGAGCCCCTTGGTGCACTTCGTAATGCATTCGAGTGCAAATATATCGGGTCAAGGAAAAATAGTTGTCGCTTCTTGGTGGAGGAGGAGGAGGAGGGGTGGAAGGAGGTTAGGGGCATATTTTATTTCAACCGATATTATTATTAAGATCATTTTCGTATTCACGTAGAAACAGAATTCATTTCATTTTATGGATCTTCATCCTACTTTTAAACACGTAACTATATATATATATATATGTAAGTGCATAATGTAAAGGTACGTTGCAGTATCGATCTGTCGAATATTTTTTCGTCAAGTGTAAAAGTAGTTTTAGTTTTCAGTAGTCAAAAAAAAAAAAAAAAGTCAAAGAAATGTTTCCCCGTTTGACCTTTTATTTTGCAAATCTAAAATGAAAGCTTTGCTCTTCATAATACTTTTTCAAATATTGGCATCATTCCATAAATTCTACTACTACTACTACTACTACTACTACTACTACTACTATTACTAACTATGATCACGATCTCTAACGTGATTTTGACGTTTATTTTTCACCAACTAGTTTCGTTAAACTTTTCGAACTTGTAGGATGGCATTTTTAGAATTATTTTCATTCGGGGTTACAAAATTATACATTTTACACGAATCTACGTATATCGTAAGTTTAAAACATTGGTTAAGATTTTAAATATCCTATTTGAGGAGACATTGATCGCGAAAGTGTGGTTGTGGTGGTGGTGGTGTTGGTGTTGTAGGCTTTCTTTTTTGAAACGTGTTGGGAGAATTTAAACGCCGTTGTGTAGCCTTTTGTAACACATCCAACCCGTCTGCGACTTGTTGAATCTCTAAATTTATTTCTCTTTATACTACGAATTCTTTCATATGTACGTATCATATATATATATGAATATAAACGAGCAGGTATGTGCATATCAAACGAATGATTAATGTATCTTTCTTTACATTATTTTTTTTTTTAATTTTTAGTTCAAAAATCATCAATCATTACATTTATTGATAAAAAGTATCGTCATCATTCACGTATATATTATTGAATAATTATTAAAACTTTTTGAACGATACGATAATTACGTGACGTATATAAGTTACAAATACACATATATGTATATGTATAGAAACACACATGAGTACACGTAATCATCTTTACTGAGATTTTCCAGGAATTGACGTTTAAGTAGGATCAAATTATGATTCATTAGGATTGGTCGAATGAGTGAAATACTAATATTACTACTACTATTACAAGATTTTGTGTATAATGAATGAAATAGATGAGAGATGAAATTGATGATACTCTTACATATACATTTAATATTTATTTAATTTAGTTTATATTTATTAACAATTTAATATTTATTTATTTAATTATAATAATATTAATTATAATATTTATACATTTCAATTATAATTTAATTGATTTACATATATAAATATTAATTTCATCTGTACATATATCTATTATAAGTATAATAGATAACCATAAGATTTTATTATAAAAATAAGACAAGATAACATAGAATATAGATAATCATAAGTTTTTATTATAAAAATAGGACACAGGAGTAAAAAATATTTAAATATTTAATATATGTGTTAGGATAATTGTAAATGTTTGCAAAAGGTAGAAGGACGTAGGTTTATTATCGATGGGCCTTTTCGCATTGACGAACGAACCGTTCGTTCATAGAGTTCAAAGAGATTATGTTACACTCGACGGAGACTTTAACTTGCATTCTCCTGTTGTCCGTTGGAGCATTCAATGTGGCTACGATGTGTTATACCTCATTTAACATCGGTAACACAGCTGACACTACTGATTATTAATTTCCTAATAACAATCTTGTATCAAGTTGTTGTGTTGTCATCATCATTATCATCATTGTTAATATATACAAATGTTGAAATTATTTTTAGATTCTTACATTTTTTATTCTGATTTATATTCTTATTCACATTCTCATTCTCTTTTGCATTTTTCTGGTTTCTGTTGAAGTTCAAGGTACACATCACTGCAGTCGAGTGTGATAGAAACGTAACACCTTCTATATTTCACCTTGGCTTTATTGAAATTAATATAATACCATAAGTTATATGATATTACAATTAATTTTCTAAATAGATTTATCTTTTTATCAATGTAAAATATTTTCTTTATTTTTATTTATTTTAAATAGAATTTTTAAATAGATTTTATTATTTCAAACACATATTTATTTTCTTATTTATTTTATATTTATTATTATTTAAATATTTTTACATTATTTTAAATACAATTAGTTTGTTTATAAGATTTATAATTTAATTTATATTTATATTTATATATTATAATATATTATATTTATTATTATTATTATATAATAAATATATATTATATAATTAATATATATTTAATTATAGTTAAAATAATGATACACACATATACACACATATATGTTTATTTATTAATTTATGTTTTTGTTACTATCATCTCATTGTCAGTTCTTTTTTCTTACCCCACTTTTAATAGGGGTCCTCCTAACGAGGGAAAAATAAACTTCTTCACTTTCTTCTTACCGTGTACGTAAATCAACGATCATAGTTCGTTCTTATTGTTGTTAGTTTAATATTTGTTGTTGTTAGATTTATATTTCGTTGTGTCGAAATATTATTAACATTTGGCAACGTAGTAGATAGAGTAGAGTTGATTTTAAAGCATGAAAAATTGACAGATTTTAAATGTCAAATCATTTAGTCTAGTATTAGTCTCCAATTTTTGTTATTCACACTCACAATCATCCCAATCATCCCAATCATCCCAATTAAAAATCCTTGAAGGACGATTTATTGGTAAATTAATTAATTTGTTGTACTTTTTTATTTATTTTATTTTAATCTTGATATATTTTTTTTTTTTTTTTAATTTGCTTGTCTTTAAAAATTTAATCTAATTTATAATTCAATTTGAAATCTCTTCGTTAGTAAAATGGTCACGTTTTAATCATAAAAATATTAAAATATTTAAAACAATCTTTCCAACTGTAACGTATATAATTTATACAGGAAGTAACTACTGACAATATTATTATTATTATTATTATTATTATTATTAGAAAATGAAATTGCATTTCTTAGATTATTACAGACATTTTCTTTTTCACATTTCTTCAGTATATTTTTAAACGCTGACTCGCGCTTCACTCGGCACCAATCACCGTCCCTAGTGTGATTTTTAAAGCTGATCACATTGAGTAGTATGATGATCGAGATCGTATCGATAATCTAATCGTTCGGGTTCTTGGATATTTTTTTCTTTTTTTTACCTTTTCATTAAAAATAAATTACCAAGAAAAAGAGAATGAGAAAGAATGGCACGACCATTTTGTTTTTACGCAATTTCCAAGAACAATTTTTAATAAAATTTTATTATTATCATTATTATTATTATAATTGTTTAATTTTTTTTTATGCCTAATTTGATCCACACAAATTAGAAATAATGTAGAATATATATATATATATAGTTATAAATATAATGAATTATTTTTAATTATTAAATAACCTAACTTTGTATTTTTTATTAAAACAATTTGGAGAAAAAGAAGGAAAATATCAAAAATTGGGTTTTTATTCGAAACACGTGGTTTTTAATAAAATATATTATATATAATTATAAATAAAATGAAATATTTTAATTATTAAATAACCTAACTTTGTATTTTTTATTAAAACAATTTGGAAAAAAAGAAACAAAATATCAAAAATTGAGTTTTTACTCGAAACACGTGGTTTTTAATAAAATATATTATATATAATTATAAATAAAATTAATTATTCAGTTAAATAACCTAACTTTTTATTTTTTATATCAAAACAATTTGGAAAAAAAAAAAACAAAATATCAAAAATTGGGTTTTAATTTTCTACACACGTGATTTTTTATCTTTATTTTACGTATTAGTATTTTAAATTTCTAATTTTGTTCTCGATAATATCTCAATTTCAAACTTTACTCATTCTCTTTGGAGAAAATATATCCAGAGATAATGTTAAATATCGATTTATTCAACGTGATAGGAGCTTTTCAATTCATAAAATTCATATACATAACCAGGCCGTTAACGTGGAGAAAAAAAAATGAAAGAACAAAGCAAAAAAGAAAAAAAAAATGGAAGAAGAAACAAAAGAGTGACTACGTTAATTTATGCTAATTATTAAACTGATGATATAATAGTTTTTTTTTTTTTTTTGTCTCAACGTTGAAATATATGTTAATATAATTTTAACGAACTATCTAATTGTTCTATTTTAACAAATATATGTCGCATTTTTATTTATTTATTATTCTTTTTCTACTTCATTTTTGTTTTCTTTCATCATAGTGTTCTATATTATTTATATTTATTATTTATTATAGTCACTTAAAGTTAACAAATTCGATCATACGAATATGAATTTTTAAAAAGTTTTCCTCTTTCATCATTTTTTACTTCTTCTTTTTTTTAATATCCTTTCAACGAATGGATTTTGGTTATAGATGTTAGCTTTTGAGGTTATGTTAGTAATCCTTAACGCTATATTTGCTTTTTAAGGGAGAACGTACATTGAAGTGTCGTTCTAGGACGACCAGTTGAAATTTCACTTTGAATATTCAAAGTTATTTCATCGTAGAAAGTTTTATTAATTATTTTGCAGAGATTGAAAAAAAGGAAAACTTTATTATTGATATTGGAATAATTTTAAAAAGAGAGAGAGAACGATTAATTTGTTGTTATTATTATTGAGGGTAAAATTTTTTTAAAAATTCGATCACTCGGTTTTATTGGTTTTTGAAAAAAAGAAAAAGAAAAAGAAAAAAAAGAAAAAACCACATTCAATTAGTTTATTGAATATCGTTCGATAAATCTTTATTTTCAGTTTTATTTGATTTTTTTTTTTTTTTTTAATAAAATTTATAAGAAAATATATGATATTATAAATTGGTAGAAATATTTTATAAATTTTATACGAATATTAAATGTAACTATATAATAATTAAAAAATAATGATAAATCATTAAAATTAAATTAAATAAACTTGATTATAAATTATTGAAATTGTATTATTCGTATATTAAATTTTTATTATTATTGAATGTAATTTAACGTAAGATTTTTTTTTATATCAAATCGAATCTCTCGACACGATATAAAAAATTGTAATTAATTTTATTGTTCATTGTAATTAAAATTGTAATATAATTGCGATATTATAAAAAATTGTAATTTATTAATATAACAATTTAAAAAATACTAAATTATTAAATATTAACTATTATTAAATKAAATTAAATCGATAAGTTTGTTGACGTAAATGTTATAACACATTTAAGTTTTATAATCGATTATTATTTATTTATTATTATAAAATATATAATCTTAAATTATTATAAGTTTATTTATTTTTGCAACTAATTATAATTTCCATTATCCACGAATATGTTATAATTTAATTTAAATTTAAAATTAAGTAAAATACACCACACACAACTAGGGTTTCATAAAATAAAAAGAATAAAATGAATAAAATAAAATAAAAGAATAAAAAAATGAATAATACGAATTTAAACAAAAATTCTAGTATAGTTTATTAATTAATTAAATGAATATTGGTGAAAGAAAGAAGTGGGTTTAGCAATTTGTATTATTCACGAATTTATTTAATTAATTTAAATCTAAAATTATAAATAATGCAACTGAGGATTATTAAAATAAAAAGAATAAAATGAATAAAATAAGATAAAAAAAATGAATCACCTAATATAAATTTAAACGAAAATTTTAACACAATTTATTAATTAACTATTAAATAAATATTGGCGTGAGGAAAGGAGTGAGTTTAGGAAACTCAAACAAAAATTCTAGTACAGTTTATTAATTAACTATTAAATGAGTATTGGTGAGAGGAAAGGGTGAGTTTAACAAAGAAGTAGTTGATCATACGTGGGATGGGGGTGGATGAGAGGAGAGGGGGTTGAAATTAGCTCATAAAAGAGAAAAGAGGCTTTGGGTTCGTTAAAGTGATAGATCCTTTTCCATGATAGATCGTTTGTTCTTTCGGTGAGAAAGGCGTTAGCTCGATGAAACATTTTCCCAAGGATGCAGTCATGCTCGACGACCTATTTATCTGACAGACACGGTTTACCTGGTTGCTGGTAGTTGTGGTGGTGGTGGTGGTTCATGGTACTAACCACCGTTAGCGCAACAACAATGCTTTTTTACTTGGTTGTGACCTTTTTTTTTTTTGCTTTATTGCGTGTAATATTGTATGAACAAACGAACTTACGTTTGTGTGCATGTTGTATGTGTATGTGTGACTGTTTGTACGTTTGTGTATGAAGTATAGCTCCTTCGTTTTCTTTTAATGAAATTAAAAAAGCAAGAAATAAAGAATCGGGTAGCTGTCCTTTACCATGAACAACATGTCTTCTATCCGGGTACTGTTGTTTCAAGAACAATGACACCTAGTGAAAAGAATAAGACTAGAAATAATAAAAAAAAAAAATAAAAAAAAAAAAAAAATAGAAAAGGAAACGTAAAATAATGAAAAACAGAACGTTCTTATTATTATTATTATTATTATTTTCTTTCTATTTTTTTTTTTAGAATAAAAGAATTTTTTGTTTGTTTGAGAATAAAAGAATCTTAGCGTGAAATAGTTCTTTTACTTCTCTTTATTATTATTATTATTATTATTATTATTTTTTAATATTTACAATACTTTTGACTTATACTTAACTTATCAAAGTTAAGATTTTTTAAGATTAGCAAAAAATTTGTTCGATGCGTTAACCTTACTTGTATTTTTCGTTTAGTTTTTATTCATTTGATTTAATTGATTCTTTTGATCAATTGAAATGTTTGACGATATGTGTTTTTTTTTTATTCATATAAAAAAAAAAGGAAAAAAAAATTAGTATTAAAAGTAAATAATTTTTTTATCATTCGATGATAAAAAAAAATTTGTTTCAGGATACCTTTGACATCTATAGAAAAAAGAAAACAATTGTTAATTTTATTATTAATTGATATCATTCAACGCGTTAGGAATTTACGACAAATTATTCAATGTTAAAATTATATCAAACAAACTTTTAATTTAATTATCAATTGATCGGTTTAACTGAATAATTAATTAATTRACATCATATAGGTTATAAAACGATTAAAACATTATCACGTACGGTAGTAGCATTTGTTCTAATATCATTTGAATTTGGGTCAATACGAATTATGATAAAATATTTATAAGTAGGTGAGTTGGTGGTTGGAAGGGTGTAGAGTTTAATAAAAAAAAAAAATTGAATAAAATACTGTTTATAACACATTAATTGAATCCTCCAGTTCGTGATGATTGAATATATATATATATATGTTGAAAGGATCAACCCGACAAGTAGCATTGAATTTCAACGTAGATTTGCGTTGATTTTAAACGCGTAATTTAGGTTACAGGATATCTCAATGTCTGTTATGTCAAATGCATTGCACTGAACAGATCTATCAAGGATATTATTCAGTCTCTTCACGTATCTACATATATATATGTATGTATATATGTATATATATATATATATGCAAGTAATACGTGATAACGTTTTATTATTACTAAAGATGCAAAGATGTGAGTGTAGATGCATGCGATTCTATTATTAATTAAGTTAACGTGATAATTATTGAATGTATGGAAAATCCATGTGTTTAAAACAATTCTATGAAGTTTTTAATATAAAATGAATTTAATTTATTTCGTTAAAATTATAATTATTTTATTAAGTGTAATATAAATTTTTGTTGTTGTGTTTTTCGCTAGATTTTCGTATGGAATATTCATGGGAATTTAAAAATATATATATTCATATTTGTTTTTTAAGATGTATTAAATTTTAAATTGTAAATTAGATAGAAGATATATTATATTTCTATTTATTGTTAATATAAACTAAATATAATATAAAATAAATAAATAATATTTAAATTGCAATATTAAATATTAAATTTAAAATTATATATTCAATATATAAAATATTATATTTCTATTTATTATTAATATAAAATAAATAATATTTAAATATAATATAAAATAAATATAAATAATATTTAAATTTTAATATATAATAATATAAAATTGTATATATATATATATGTATATATATATATATATTTGAAATATATTTATTTTATTATTGAATATTTTCTTAATAATAATACTTACGAATTTTTCAGATGATGAAATAATTTTTAAAACTCATGAAATAATAATTGAATGAAATTATAAACGAAGAATGAAATATATAAATATATATATGTCTATGATTTTATCTGAATGTTTGAAATATCAAAGTGAGAAATGACATAGTTTAAAATTCATCCGACTATCTTATCATCGTTCTCCTAACAGCTTTTTTTTTCTCTTGAATTTTTTTTTTTTTGGTTCAAAGTATCTTCATTCGCTCCTTCATTTAATTCCCTTCTTATTAAATGCATTTACGTGCTCCTTTTACACTCCTACATTTGCATTAATTATACCTCGCTATAATGGTTACTCATAATAATAATAATAATAATAATAATATGGTTCCTTTAAGTTACTTTTTAAGATCAATCATGCGACACACTCGTAAGGATTTAACATTTTTCTAGTTGTTGTTCTGATTAGATATATTTATTATATATGTATTTAGATAACATTTTTTATTTACATTTTATTTAAATTGAAACGAAACAATAGTTTATTGATCTAGTATTCGATATTTTGTTTTCATAGTTGCTTGAAACAATTTCATTGAGGAAAAAAAAAAGAATGAATGAACTTTTGGAAAATCAATTAAAATGGACGTTGTAAATGAAAAAAAAAAAAATTAACATCGTTTGACCCTTTTAGATATTAAAATAATGTCGAAACGAGAAAATTGAATTATACTATTATGATGCTGTGACGATGAAATTTCTGACTTTTAAACCACGTACACGATAACTTGGAAATAAATTAGAACCCATGGTATCTGTGTATCTGTGTGTGTGTGTGTGTGTGTGTGTGTGATTTATGTAGAGATCCTAGAAAGAACAGAATATAAAAAAAAAAAATAAAAAGAAAAAAACTAATAATTTCATTTATGTTACAAAAGTTTATAACAAGCTTTGAGATTTAATTTAAAAAAATTGAAAAAATAGATAATAAAGCCACGTTTCAAAAAATTTCTATGGTAGTTAGTTGGTATTAAAGTTATAACCAATACGTAAATTACATTTTTTACAAGTGCTAATAGTTATTAGCATATAGAGCACGAAAGTAGTATTATAGTAACTCATAATGTATAGTTAACATTACTATAATGCAATAATATATATATGTTAAATTATTTTTCATAATATCTGCTTCAATATTTAACATTGTAATACGTTTCCTCTATTGATTGTAATTAACACGAGTAAATAGTAGTTAATTGATATGTACACGTATTTATACGTCGATCAAAAATCAAAAACAAACTAATACATACGTTAGAATCGTTAAAATGATTCGATCACTTTTATTTTAACCCTTTGAATATCACCGGCAACACAATCATTTTTTTTTTCTATTAATGTTCAATATTTATGATTAAACAAAAAGAAAAAAAAAAAGAAAAAAAAATTTCAAATTTAAAACAAAATTTTACAAGCGCATATATGCGCCCACAGAACTCAAAGGGTTAAAAATCTAACAGAAACACATTTGGATTTTTTTGAAAGTAGAGCAAGTAGACATAGTTAAAGTTTTCTAATATAATTTACACATATTTCCGTCCTTAGTCAATGCGAATTGCTTTCGTTGGACGCATATATGCGCTGAAAGAATTAAAAGAATTAGAAAAGAAACAGAAACACACTTGAATTCTTTTTAAAGTAGACCTAGTAGACACAGTTAAAGTTTTCGAATAGAATTGACACATATATGCGTACTTAATCAATACAAATTGCTTTCAATGGGCGCATATATGCGCTCAGCGAACTCAAAGAGTTAAAAAAAGACCAGAAAAACACTTGGATTCTTTTTTAAGTAGATCTAGTAGACATATAGTTAAAGTTTTTGACTAGAAATTGTAATAGTGTTATTCGTTTTGTTAATTCATCGACTTTGCAGTATCTCCGAGGTCCGAGGTATCGAATATGGCATCAGGATTGCCGAGCGCTCGTCAGAGGAAGCTTGGACCAGCACCAATAGCATCCTTCGAAGACCTGTCGGACGAGGTGGAAAACGTGAGTCCCCCATGAGTCCTCCCTGAGTCCTACTTCTTATCGACTACTCCGAGAACCCGCTCGGCACACAATAATCGAGCGTGTGTGTGTGTGTGTTCCCCTTCTCCGAGTGTCGCACGCACATCTTCCTCTTAAACTTTGGAAAAAAACGGGGGCTTCTGAAACCCCGAAGTTCAACACCTACAATTCAAAGACTGTGATCCAACGACAAACCAGTCTACGAATTTGAATGCAGGGGGAACCGACAACACGAATGCCAGGCATCATCGAGGTCGCCACCCCGGCAACGCCTGGTAGTTCGCTAAAGACACCCAGTACACCAAGAATTGATATCAGCCGGGCAAGCAGTTCCTCACACCATGAGGATAGCAATTCTAGGGAATCATCACCCGAGAGAGAACTTCTCGCAGGTATATTTTATTCAAATTCAATGTCACAATGTTTGTCCACTAATAACTTTGAAACTACTCAACCAATCTTAATGAATTTTTATTTTATTTTATAGAATTTGTTTCAACTTAGAATATATAGGGTAGTTTTTATCGTGATTATTTTTATTTTTTATTGCAAATTTGTGAATTTATTAGTAGAGGTTATCTAGATTTCTAGGTTCTGTAAGTTTTCAATAGATGACTCTGTATTAGAATTCAATTATTTCAATTTATTCAAATCACACGTTTTTTTTTTTTACAGATTTGATTGCATTAAACAGTTTAGAATTAAATTAAATGGAATATAGGAAAAATAAAATAATGAAAATAAAATTTGATTTCAGGTGGAGATCCTCCTCCAGGGTGTAAGCTGACCTTAGGTTACAAGGAAGATGCGCAGGATTTAAGATCGTCAACTGAGGAATTAGATTTGCAGGATCCAATACACGAGCAAGATCTTAGGAGGGAATCGAAGAAGGCAAGAAAACGAAGAGAAGATGGATCACAATCGGATTATAGTGGTGGAACGAGGCATACCCAAGACAGAGAACGGAAGGATAGTAATTGTTCAGAAATCATTCTACTTAACATCAGCGGTAGAACCTCCAGATTGTCTTCTGTTGGAAGTCAGGGTTCTGGTGTTTCCGGAAAACTCTCGGTGGTTTCGGGTACTTCATCGAGGTATTTGAATTCGTTAATATATTATCTATTTTTAATTTATTATTAATAATATTTATATCCTCTAATCTTTTTATTTATTTATTAAAAYAAATAATACAACGTTGCTCGTACTAGGAATCGATTGAAAATACAAAAAGACTTTTCTTTCCTTTTTTTTTTCTTTTTGTTTTTTTTTCTTTTTCCATTTATCGTTAAAGGTCACCGAGTCCGCACAAATGTCTATTGGAGACGTCCTTTTGTGGTAGCAAGCCGACTTTAGCTGATAACTTGATTGAACCATCGAAACCAGAAACCGAAGACTTAGAAAAGATTTTGTTGAAACGCGAAGCCGACACCACTAAAGCGTTAATTCCAGAAAGTATTAAAGTATCAATGGTCGGTGGTAATTTGAAGCCAGATCCTTTAGATAAGCCAAGAAGACGCGGTAGGGAAGAAAGGAAAGAGATATTTAAGAGAGAAGTGGAGATTACTAAGAAATTCTTAGAAAAGGTTAACATTGAGGTACGATTAATGTTTTAATTATTATTACTTAGTATSAATTATTAAGTATTTTCTTTTGTTGTTGTTGGGAACCCTATTGTGTCATTTCTTTAGGTACCAATTATTCGTAAATCATCTGAATCAACGCAACAACAACAACAATTACAACAACAACAACAACAACAGCAACAACCAGTTAAAAGTCAGCCACAAGAAGTTCAAAAACCCGCAACCTTAGATTTTAACGACAAACGAAAAAAAGCACAGAATTTCAAAGAGATCGTCCAAACAACACCAACGGCTAGTAGCTTAACTGGTAGTCCTAAATTACCGAGACATCAAAAGGTTCGAGATCTCGAGGGATCCCGTACACCTAGTCCATCTTCCGTATCGAGAAAAAGCAGTTTTGCCTCTTTATTCAAGGTAAAGTGATATGTTTCAAAAAGCTTTCATAAAACAAACAAACAAAACAAAACAAAAAAAAACAAAAAAAACGACATAAAAAAAATTCAAAAAAAAAAAAATATACTTACAATATGAACACAGACACACGCACGCACGCATCATACACGTATAGAGAGAAAGACACGTTGGTTGGTTGTTGTGTTAACGCTTGTAGAATACAAATTGCGCTTTATCACAATCGAGCTATTGTAGTCTTCTTCTTCTTCTTCTTCTTCTTCTTCTACTTAATGCACCCCGGTAAGCGAAACGCTTTTTAATAAAGGGAGTGATCCTAAAGGAAAGTATGCTCTGTTCCTCAAGACCAGAACTGATGGCAGCGTACTGAGCCCAGAATCACCGTCGCCGAGTACTAAACCACGTAGGAGTTTAACATCCAAGATAAAGGACACCACGGAGAGTCTAAGGAGCAGATCAAAATCGAGAGAAAGGGTTGCCGTTGATAAAGGTGGTGGTTCTTCTACATTGAAGAAGGATTCCAAGAACAAGGGTGTCTTCTCGTCTACATTGAGTTTGTTCAAGAAACGTGAAAGGAAAAAGAGTTATGATGAAGCTATTGCATCTTCGTCATCCGGTGCTGCAATTGAGTATGATGTTGGTTATAGTGTTGGTAGTAGTAACGTTGTTGATCAACCACAACAACAACAACAACAACAACAGTCGTTGGAAAGTATTGGTCCGGTCGAGTTTACTTTCAACACGGAAAAAGAAAGACGCAAAGATGATTCAATTTTCATCAGTCTTCATGCTGACGATAGAAATTATGAGGAAGCATTACCATCCGAAAGTGTTTCGATACCGTTAGAAACACCAACCAAATTGTTAGATGAATACGAATCAGAACCACGTACGACTAATACGGGTGGTATCATGATGACCGAAGTTTCCATTGAACATCATCGTCCTCCTGTTATTGAAATGAGAACCGAAGCTAGAATTGAAATGACACCGTCTAAAAGATCATCGTTGGATAATCAAACGATACCACGTAGCCCATCGAGAGATTCACAAACTTCATTGATTAGTGGCCCATCGAAAGATTCGAAAATAATCAATGTCAAAGATAATTTAGATAATACGTTAATTAAATCATCTACTATCATCAAAACCACCACTTCAACGTCACCAACTTCGGCTAACGAAATTAGGCCAATGTCCGGATCTAATCAAAGATTGTCCGGTAGTTCTTCCAAAGATTCGATTTCGAAGAGAACTGTTGCTTCCGAGGTTGTTACGAAGATCAAAAGAAAAAGTAAAGACGAACAGGTCATTTCATCTGCCGATAAAATAGACGATTTTACATCCCATAAAAAGAAGATGTCGGATATCAGTGATGTTACAAAAACTGTCGTCGAGTCTAAAAAGGAATTTTTGGAGGACAGTTTATCTGTTAAAATGGCGGAAGTTAATTTAGTGAAGACTTCTAGCGTAATATCGGATCTCGATCATAACAGTTCAGAATCCGAAAGGGATTCCGAGATAGAATTTATTCGTAATAAGACTGAGAAAATTAGCGAGGAATTACCGGATGAACGTAAGGGTCTGTTCAACGAGGAAAGCTTCGAAGAAGATCTTCCTTACATTCCAACGACCTTGCCATTGGAGAAAAGCGTAGCTGTACCGATTTTACCTGTTAAACAACGACTGCAAGAAGTTAGGTAAGAAATATCTGACATATTAAGATGGGATATTTGTTGATAACAAATAATTGAATGATAATTTTTGTATTTTAGAACGATACCAATCGAGAGGCCACGTTCAACGACACCGATTAATCCAACGTTATTGGACGAGTTCGTGATGCAAACATCACTAGATGAAAGACGTGTTGAAAGAATGAAAATATCCTTACCACGTGAGGACAGTTTTAAACTGAAGAGTCCGAAAAGGCACGCAGCTAATACGTTCAGTGAGTTCGCTGGTAAAGTTACGGACGGTGGTCGTAACAGGACAGCCGGTAAATCACCTAGTCCACCACCATTACCACCAAGAGCACCTAGCAGACCAACCAATTGGATTAATTTCGAGGAAATACCTGAGAAAAGAAAGGCACCGAAAATAATTCAAACGATTCCGCGTACCGAGGATGAGGTTAATAAAACAACCGGTTATAGTTACGTACAACCAGAAGAATGTAGATGTGAGTGTCATGAGGAATCCAGAAGAGCATCGATCAACAGGGAAACAACAACGACGATGACAACAACTTCAACAACTGGAACAACGGCAACCAACGTTACGAGAACTTCGTCATCTTGTAGCAGCAGCAATGGGGAACGTACCTGCAACGGTGAAAATTGTGTCTTACCGACAACTAACAGTTCTGTCGATCGTGCCAGCATCGTCAGGTAAACTCACCTGGGTACGATCATGTATCGAATTAATTATACAATCTCATTTAATTATCTCGATAGGCGCTAGTGTTGAGTAGAAGTCTGTTTCTATATTTTCAGTGACAGCTCGTTGGAATGCAGTTTGAGCATCGAGGACAACCAAATTATTATGGGACATGCTGTAGTTAATCAACAGACTCACGTCAATTCGGGAAAACCATTTATCATGGATTTGGATGTTAGATCTAATAGATCGAGTATCGTTTCTCAGGAAGATAACGATGACAATTCGTATCAATGAAATGGGCTGACGTTCGTCTTTGAAACGATTAAAACAAAAAGACGGAAACAACAGCAACAACAATTAATTATCTACGTGTTTACGTTTAGAACGCGATTAATCATTTTTTTCTTCGACAAAAATTCGCATTTTAAAATCGTGCTGCAAACAGATGATCATTCTAATTATCGATGATATTTAGACGAAGGTGTTTCTCGTATTATCCAATCGAAATCTCTCATTTCAAAAATTGGTCCATTTCCGAACAAGGAATTTTCAGATTGGGGATTGGAGTGGGGGTTAGGTTAACCTAAATTCGACAGAATCTTCCTAATTTTTTTATATTCTTTGATTGAAATTAATATTAGATGATCGTTTACTTTAAAATAATGAATATGGTTGTTACGAGATTCACCTTTGTTACGTAAAAGAAAAAAGAAAAGAAAAAAAAAAAATCAAGAAAACTGTGTTGCACAATGACGCACTTTTAGATATCACCCGTTGCGAATTTAAAATGAGCGATGCATCGCTGCCAGCTAAAATAATAATAATATAATAATAATAATAATAATAATAATAATAATAATAATAATAATAATATAGAAAAAACGATTTTATCTGTATTCTAAATAAAAAATTCGAAATGCGAGTTGGATTTAAACGAACGGAACGGAACGGAATGGAATTGAACGAAACGAAACGCTCTCATTGGTAAAAGTTTAAATCTAATTTTTATCGTTGATAAGATGAAATGAATGATCTTTCTCTCTCTCTCTCTCTCTCTTTTACACACACACACACACACACACTCTCACTTTCACTCTCTCTCTTTCTCTTTCTCATATCTCATCAGGTTATATGTGCGTGTGCGTGTGTATTCGTGTGTGTGTGTGTGTGTCATGTACGAGCTTCCATATATTAGGGTGTACCAAAAGTTCACGCGCGTATATGTTTTTTGTTTATTATTATTATTAATATTTGTAAAAATAAATTTTACATAAAAAAAAAAAAATAACAAACAATCTATTATACAGTTTCAAAGTAAAGTTTCGAAAGGATAAACACACATACGAACTTTTGATTTATCCTAATATTTATAAAAGCTCGTTTGCAAAATTTATTCGCGATTATGTATCGTGTTTGTTTAAGAATAGTGGGGGATGGGGACGGGGAGGGGGGACAACGTACACATGTGTATATTTAAATACGTATAACGTATACATATATTGNTATATATACACATACGTTCGAATATTGTTAAAGTTCGTAAATCCTCTCTAGCGTGTTCAAAAAATACACATGAAAATGTTTATGAAGTAAAAAAGGAAAGCAAACAAACCAAAAAAAAAAAAACAAAACAAAATAATATATCTTTCTCTCTATCTCTCTCTATCTCTCTCTTTCCATCTTTCTATCTTTATCTTTATCTATTTATCTAATCTAGTTTTCTCAAATTTGAATATCTTTGTTTTCTTTAACGAGCCTTTCATTAACCGGTATGCAGAAATCGTGCAACGATTTGTTTGTTTCTTCGATTTTTCAACATTCATTTCAAAAATACTCGTAGATCGATTAAGAAAAAAAAAATCAAATGAAAAAGGTAAAATATAGGACAACAATAACAAAAAATTAAAAGAAAAGGTACCCTTAATAAAATTAAAACTCCAACGGGGTGGATTGGTTTTTGTTTATGAAATCATTTTTCTGCATTTATACTCGAAATAGTTTTTTTTYTTTTTACTGATTTACAATAAGTGTTCAAGAAATAATGATCGTTGGCAATATGAGATTAGAAAAAATTAAAATGGAGCCTCGTCGTTACGAAACCTTCCTCCTTTCGAAGAAATTATTTTATCGACTGTTGTATACACTAAACGTAAAGAGGGTAGGTTTCGTAACGATCGTAAACAAAAATATTTAGGCTCTTCAAAATATAAAACGTACGTATTACTTGTGTGTATATTTGCGTGTGTTGCGTGTGTGTGTGTGTGTGTGTGTGTGTGTGATCATATAACATGCAAACCTTTGCACCCCTTTGTGCAAAAATCGTTCGTTTTATTTCGTTTGATCGCAAAACACAAATGACGTATTGTAGAATTGTTCATTTTATTATTATTATTTTTTTTTTAAATTTTTTGTTTCATTTTTCTGTATTGTTAATTTTTTTTTCAATAAGATATTTACATATTGTAACTGAATAATCCATGAAAATGCTTAACTCTTCCCTAATTGAAGAGTTTAGTTAATTAGTTTGATGATTAGGAAAAATTAATAATATTAATATTAATATTAATAATAATAATAATAATAGGAAAATGGCGAAATCGCATATCGCAAAATTGCAAATGGAATTACGTATTTATCTACCTCCTAAGTATCGTATCGAATGGCAATCGAAGAAGAAGAAGAAGAAGAGGAAGAAGAAAAAATCGTCAGAAAATTTTCTTCAACTTCGATGTCCGTGATGCTGCCTGCAGAAATACAACAACAAAAAAATGAACAAAACGAGAAGAAAAAAATACAAAAAAAAAAAAAAGAATAAAGTAAAAGATATTAAAAAAAGAAAAAAAAAATAAATAAATTAAATTCCAAGGACAATTTTAGAAGCACGAAAAAAATTAGCGACCAATTGAATTAAACGAGTTGTTACGTTTAAATTTATGAATAAACGTATTTGTCTGAATTGGTTTCTTTTCAAATCAATAATAATAATAATAATAATAATTGAAAAAATTGAAAAAAAATTTTTTAATTCTAAAGAAAATTCTCTCCTTTCTGTTTTTTTTTTTTTTTTTGGTATTTTTTGTTTTCATATAAAACTTTGAATATAAAAAGAAAAAAATTTAATTGAAAGAGACCAACTCAGAAAATGTCAGAAATTAGAGTGCTACGTTTTGTGCATGCTCGCATAAATAAATATATTATTATTATTATTAGTTTACGAGGTATGCGATGATTCGAAGTAAGTTTTGTAGATTCTTTTCTTTTTCTTGTTTTATTTTTTCTTGACGAAATTAGATGACGTTATCATAATTCCTATTATCGTTTTACGTCAATGGAAGTACTGAGAACACGTGTCACGTAAGCTCGTGACACTTCTCATTGTGTTCAATAAAGAAATACTGACTCGTGTTTTACGAACGTATATAAAAATATAGAACACACAATAACAACAACAGCAACAACAACAAAAGAGATCAATGAAAAAAAAAAAAAAGAATTAAATAAAAAAATTATTATCATTCGATGTAATACCGAGAACGAGTAATTGTTGAGCAAAAAAAAAAACAAATAACTAAACAGAAAAAACAATATTTAATTTAATTAATTATTATAGAACGTTACTTGTATAAATTAGTTGTTTTTTATTTATTATTTAAAATTCATAATCATGTTCGTACGATTTTCGTATTTTAATAATTAATAATATTTAAAATAATAATTAAAGAATTAAGATATAATAAAACTGAAAATTATAAGATGAAATGAAAAAGCAATAGTAATTTAAATAATTGTTTTATCTATAATAAATATTGTTTTTTATTTATAAATACGTATTTAAAAAAAAAAATAATAAATATATAATCTATTATATATTTATTTAAATAATTTAATAAATATGTCAAAATTACTCGTTCTTTCTACATAAGAAGATTTTCTTCCAATTGCCATAACTGCGTACCGGAATTGAAACGAATTCTCGCAGAGTCGTTATTTCTAATTAAGCTTTTTCTTCCTTTATTCATCGTCACTAAGAGCATAATACTCAAGGTGACGATGAAAATGATTCATGAAAAATTCAAATCATACTACAATTACGAACGTATATACATACGTACCTATACATAACATTACATAACATTACATACATGCATACATATTAGACGATCGTTGTAAATGTTCTTTTTCTCTTTTCAAATCTGTACATTACGAAGAAGACTAACGAAAGAAAAGAAGAAAACACAAAAAAAAAAGAACGAAAAAAATTATATATATATAAATTAATAAATAAATAAATAAATAAACTAATTAATTAATAAAGAAAGAAAGAAAGAGAAGAAAATGAGAATGGAGAAAAGGGAAGTAGTTAATAAAAAAAAAAAAGCAAAAATGCAAAAATATAAATATAAAAAAAAACCGATCCTTTATTGAAAAAAAAAAAAAAAATGTCATCTCTCTTAAGGGCCCTGTTATCAAAGGGCATCCTCATCGATTCTTTACTACAGTAATTTAATGTATATGTTACCGTTAAAATGTATAATTCGATTAATACACGAATACACGCGTACATAATTAAAATATTAAATAAATTTAAAAAAATAAAAAATAAATTTAAATTTAAACAAAATTGCATTATTTAAATTCTATAAAAAAAGAAATTTTAATAATTAATTATTTTAATAATATAATTATATATATATATATATATGTTTATTTTATTGATATTATTTTATATTTAATATTTATACACATACACATACAAAGATACTTGAAATATAAAAATTTCACTTTTCCAACGAAATTATTTTAAATAATTATTTTACGGAAGAACAATTTATTAAAAATAATACAAATAATATTTAACGATTAACGTTATTATTAAAAATATAATAATTATTATATTTTTAGTGAAATAAAAATATAATAATAATAATAATAATAATATTTTATTTTTAATTGAAATATAAATATTACATTAAAAATATAATAATTATTATAATTTTAGTAAAATAAAAATATAATAATAATTATATTTTATTTCAAGAAGTTTTGAGACCTATATAGGAATATTTTCTTATTGAAAATAAAGTGACCTATGTAAGGAAGACATTAAATGTTTACGAGTTAACTTATTTATGTCAGTAAAGTTCGAACGATGATCGAGCTAACATCGTTTATCAATTAGATAAATAATTTTACCAAGTTTTCTTATTAATCTTATAAAAGTAAGTTCATATATATTATATTTTAATTAAATATTTAATATATAAATGTTTAATTTAATTAATTAATAATATGATTTAAGTATATTAATATATATAATATTATTTTAAATTTTAAATAATTTTAGAAATTATTATTTATTAAATTTTAGAATAATTTAGAAATTTATCATAATATCGTATCGTTCCATATAATATATTAATTATTATTATTATTATTAATATTATTAAATATAATTATATATATATTACATTAATATATTTAATTCAGTCGTCTTTAATATTTTAACAGGTCGGTATAAATATTTCATGAATTAACAAATTACACGTTTTACCGGTAACATATATACATATATATATATACATACACATATACATACATAGCTATTTTTTTCTTGGTTACTAACACTTGTTTTCTAACCAAGAATAATTTTCAGAGTATCTATATTAAAACATAACAAAAAAAAAAAAATACTAATTGTAAGTAAAAAAGCTAAGGTGACCTTGAGCTCTTCGAGTCTACCCGTGCGTGTGTTCAACAAAAAATAATTCAATCGTTTTGCCCTAATTTTTTCGTATTGCTTTATTTTTTTGGTTTTATTTTTGCCAATCAAATTCAACACCACTCTTTCCTACTTCTTCTTCTTCTACTTCCTTTTTAAATTTAATCGTAGTAAAGAAAAATAAATGATGAAATAAGTGTAATAATTAAATATTATCTATAATTATTTCTAATATTGTTATTCAGACGATCTCGACGATTTTTTTTGTTCTTTTAATAATGTAAAAAAAAAAATGGTGAAAATGTCGAGTGATATTAAAATATTTAGAAATAAACAAAATGACAAATGCTTTTTTAACGGGCTGCTCGTTGATGTACAAAAGAAGATTGAAAAAAAGCAAGTAAAAATAATTAAAAAAATAAATAAATAAATAAATAATCTACAAAGATCGTTGATAATTTAAAAAACATCGGTTTGAATGTACAAGCATGATTAGAAAATTGAAAACATCGTTTTTCTATACGCAATCTACACATTGTACGTACGCATACATACCACATGTGTATGTATGTAAGTATGAATAATAATAATATTAATACAAAATATAATTATAGGTTAATTAATTTTTGCATATGATAATTAAAAAATGCAATTTTTTATATACATTTATATATATATATTTTTTATTTATTTCTTTTTTATTATATTTGCCAAATACTTCTTTGAATCTTCCATACATTTAACCAAACAAATATTTTGACAAAATATTTAAAAAATAAACATATTTTATTGTTTCCATTTTACATCCATAAATTAATTAAATAATTTTTTATTAATAATTAAATAAATATATTCTATATATATATATACTTTCTAAGTGTGTGTGTTTTTCTTTATCTGAAGTAAATGCTGAATGCGTTTGATTAAATAAATAAATAAATAAAATAATCAAATTGATAGAAAAATATAAAAAAAATTTATTTATTATTTTATTATTAATATATATTAACTTAAGACTTTTAGTTTGATATTTTCATATAATTTATTATAAATAAATTCATACATACGTACATACACATACATAGACATACCAATTACATATTTGTTTTAATTCAACGAAATTAATTCGTATATTATAATTATATATATATATATATATATATAATATATGTATATACGTGAATACGTAAATACATGCATACGTCTCGTCGATCGATTATAAATAATAAAAAAAACAAATAAACAAAAAATAAATAAAATACGCGTGATATTCTGCCATATTTCGAAAGGCTCAAGATGACCTTTTTAGGTTCATGATAATTTTTCTAATCTTTTCCTAGCCAATAAAACGACATGACGAACAAATAAAACAAAATATAAAATAATAAAATAAAATAAAATAAAAATTAAATTAATAGATAAAAATACAAAAATCTATATGTCGTATAAAAACAAAAACAAAATGATGAAAAAAAAGAAGAAGAAGAAGAAGACTAAAAAAAAAAAAAAAAAAAAATGAATTGAAACAAATTGTTTCGGGATCGTGACAAGTACCCGAGTGAGTTCAAAAGATGTGGAGAAGGTTGAAAAGGGTGAGAATAAGGGATGTTTGTGCATATGTGGAAAATTGAAGGAATTATAAAAAACAAATCTTCGTTAAATTCCTTGTTTTTGTTTTTTCTCTCTATAAATCGATACAATCGAGAAATAAATAAACACAAACAGGGGGAACAATAAGCATGCGTTATTTTCTCGATTTAAAACGATGATTAACACGTTGAGTTCCACTTCAGTCATAAATGATTGACACTGAACTTTCAGTTCAGGCAGTGTCAGGCACCGATGCCTAACGTTCAACTTAACATTTAACCATGTCAGTCATAAGTGACTGACAATGAACTTCCAGTTCAAATCGTGTCAGACACCAGTGCCTGACATTCAACTACTCAACTTTTCATTTTACCACGTCAGTCATAAATGACTGACATTGAACTTTCAGTTCAGGCTGTGTCAGACCCAAGTGTCTGACGTTCAACTACTCACTTTTTATTTTACCACGTCAGTCATAAATGACTGACACTGAACTTTCATTTAAGGCCGTGTCAGGCACCGGTGTCTGACGTTGAACTTTACATTTTATCATTCGTGGCCTGACAAAGATTTCCGTAAAAATTCACGTGGCCCTCAACGGGTTAATAAATAATAATAGTTCCTCGGATGATCCTTGTCATTACGATCCTCATCTAGCAATACGCGAAACAAAAGAAAAAATATGTTTAAAATGATGTTTATTTTTAAGGTACTTAGATTACGAAGAAGAGGTAACAAATAAATAAAAAAAAAAAAAAAAAAAAAAATAGAAAAAAAATACACAAAATAAAAAGAGAAAAAAAAAAGTAATAAAACTAATGAAATCTCTCAATGTTTCTAATAATTATGTAAATAAT